CACTTATTCTTTACTATTAGCTTGCCACGAGGGACAATGTCAAAGGCCTTGCTAAAGTCTATGTAAATCACATCCACTGCCCTATTCTTCTTAATCAACTTTGTCACTTCCTCAAAAAACTCAAACAAGCTTGTGAAACCTTCCCCACACAAAGCCATGCTGCCTGTCACTAATAAGTCCATATTTTTTTCCAAATGTGACTAAAGCCTGTTCCCAGGAATCTCATTCAACAATATCACTGCCAATGCTACTTCCATCTTTGTAGAATCGATCATTCCCTAACTAATTTTCCATGAAAGCCCTCTAGATTAGCAGGGAATATTTTATTGTGTCTCCTTTTGTACCCTAAAAAACTACCCCTGCCCTCAAAAACTGCTTCTCCCTCTTGGCCACGTTAATTGCTCCTTCCTGTCATCAATCTTTCTAAACTGACTGATACATGCCAAATGTTTAAATCACCTGCCCAAGCACATATTTACTTATTTCGAGCCTTCTGGCCCACAATAAGGACAGACAACCAGCTAACCAGGAGACTGTACACTCCTCAAACCCTTGCCTCCTACAGAAGCAACTGCAAGTTAACTAAGAGGAGGGACAGCTATTGGCATTGGGAGATGATAAGGCTAAAAGTTGTCACAGTGGGATTTGTTGTCATTTTCCTTTCCCCTTATTTTTGCACTTAACTCTTTTAGTTACACTCTCATCAATCTCATGAGCCTCAACTTGTTGTGGCATAATGCTCTCCATTGAAATTATCCTAATTATTGTTACTCATTGCTTTTTCTTGGACAACTGTGTTTTGGCTAAATTAATTTTCAAGCTTGTGGCAATATAATAGTTGCATTTATTTCAGATTCTAGCAATATCTCTGCAAAGAGGTAATCAACACAGCAACATGAGGAGACCTGAAGTGTAATTGCTACAGCATGCTTACCTCTTCTAATTTAAATAGCCATATGCAAGTCAATATATATCAAAGCAAAAGACTTTGCTAGTAGTGTCAAGCAGAATGTAAAGAGGCACTTGGCTCACAATGCACCATCACTCACTATTCTCATGTCAAGTACCGCACTGGATTTGACATTCTTTGTGATTTAGAAAGTAAATCAGGATCCCACAGATGCCAAAAATCTGAAACAAAAAAAAACACTATCGGATCAGTCATCATCTGTAGAGAGAGAACTGTCGATTTAGCAGAATTGACATATTATTGTAAGTGTGAGAGGACTGCAATAGTGGATTCACTAAGGCAAGCACAAAGGATAGGAGCAGTTGGATATAGCAAGAACATGCCGACTATTGGCCACCCCATGACTTGGACATGCCAAAGACAACAGAGATACAGAATTCTGATGAACAAAGTGTCATTTCTGTGCACCACCAGTTGCTGAAGTCATTGATAACAGAAAGGTTCCAAAATATGGTTTAGCACAACACCCAGATGTGTGATTCTCATGTAGTGCCTCAACATTCTGCAGTCAACCATGGAATACATAGTTACCTGAACACATGCTGCAATGGAGACCACCAAACCCACTGTACCCCCACCCCATGTGACACAAGCCAGTAGTACCACCTGTCAGGGATACTTAAAGCAATGCAGGTTCTGATTTATCCTTCAGTTTTATCTTGTGTTAACTGGAATTCAAATGCATTGTTTTTATCATGCAGATCAGTGATCTCCTAGATTCTGCTTCCCTGTACACCAGTAGGAATATTAAGTGTAAATTAGGGTGGGTTTTACAGTGGGAGTGGAAAAGGATGTGGCCTCTCATGATGGTAGTTCTTCTGTACCCTTCCAAACCCCTGAACAAATGCCCCCATCCCCCATGTTTGCAATAAGCTGGAACAGAATGTCTGAGAAGGCGTCAGGTTATTGCTGCTGCACTTCGGCCTTTTCGGGCCTGCAGTACTGCAAGGTGCAGATGAGAAACCTATTACGAGAACTCGACCAAACACAACAGTACTCCTCAAATGGAGTGGTTAGTGGGGAAAATCTTAAAATATTTGAAAGAATACCTTGCCAGGTTGAGTGCCATACTGTGCATGGGATTTTGTAGAAACCATTCAACACGGAATGCTGTTTGAAATTTTTGCTTGCAGAAATTGTTCCTCCAGTGGCAGGTGACCTTGCATTCTTAGCTGACAGAAAGAGCAACTTTGGTATTTGCATAGTGATAGTATGAGGCTTTCAGTTGGAAAGAGTTAGACAGTTAATGAGCATGACTGAGGAGTAGTAATAACTTTCATCGCTGAAGTGCTGAAGTCTGGCTCTGGTTGTAAATCACTACATAGACACTTTCTGCTCCTTTGTAATCTCCATACCAGCACTCTCTTCTTTCTCACCATACAAAAGCTCCTCCTCCAATGGTGGTATCATGTTGTCACCCACATTGCAGAGCAGCACCTTGACCAAAAGAGAGGTTTGCTGTGGACCATTTTGAAGAAAGCCACCTCTCTCTTCTCACTTTTAATTCTCTGGCATTGAAACTTCTTTGTGATGGCCCCAGTGATCTGCTGTAGTTAACCCGTGCATCTGATCCTAGCAAAGCCTTGCTGCCAAGACTGACTTCCTAGAGATTTGATCCACTGATTGTGTAGCTGAAAGCTCAGGTCTCCAACCAGTCAGGCTTCCACTTACTGTGTGATTGATGAACCGAGCACATTGGATCGTTATGTAATATTAAAGCATCGTGGAAATTGCCAGGAAAGAGGGTTCAGATCTGCATGGCCCTCCACTAGGATTATACTTCAGCTGCCCACTAGTCAATCTATTCACATGGTGATCTTTGAAGGATGAAGTTTCTGTGAGTCCATGGTAAAAATTTGTATTTGCTCTAGAAAACAAAGCATCTCACTGAAGCAGTTGGCTACATGCTTTCCTGCAGCATGTGACACATCTCTGATCCCTGCCTCCTGGAGAAACAATCCCTTATAGGGTGAAGCTGACAGAATTACAGGTATGTCGTACTGAGTTGTGAATGCATTGGAGAGAGCGCAGAAGCTTTTTACAAGAATGGTTCCAGGAAACATCAGCCATGAGGATGGTTTGAAGAAGTTGGGACTCTACTTCTTGGAGAGAAGAAGGCTGAGAGGAGATTCTCAAAATCCTGAGTAGGCTAGATAGAGTAGATAGGGCAACTCTCTTCATAATCATAAAAGAAAAAAAGAACAAGATGGCACAGATTTAACGTCATGTGCAAATAAAGCAATGGCGTTGTGGGAAAAACCTTTTTCACACAGTGAGTAATTGGGGTAAGCAGTACTATGAAATGCACTGCCTGGAAATGTGGTGAAGGGGCATTCAATTGAGGCATTCAAGAGAGAATTGGATAATTATTTGGATAGAAATGGTGTCCACAGATAGGGGGAAAGGGCAAAAGATTGGCACAAGGTAATAGAACCAGTGCAGATGGACTGAAGAAGGGTCTAGGCCCGAAACTCAGCTTTCCTGCTCCTCTGATGCTGCTTGGCCTGCTGTGTTCATCCAGCTCTACACCTTGTTATCTCAGATGGACTGAATGGTCTCTTTCTGCAACATAACAATTCTATGATTTTGTGAGTCCATGAACTCTACCAGAGTGGTGGGGAAAGCAGTCTTGCATCTCTTGCTCCTTTAGCTGAAGAAGAGATAAAGATCCCCTTACTATAGAATCTAAACAAGTTACTTTAATGATAAATAATCCATCAAAACCATCTGTTTACACCAATGCTGAATATTGTCCTTACTGAATGAGGGCTGATTGTCTTCCACCCTTAGCTGCTGCACTAGAGGGGAACTGATGAACATTTTTTCACTTTTCTGAGTTTTGTTTTAGTACACCTTGTGTATGATTTATTGGCCCTATCAAACTGCAATTGAGATTTTGTTTAATGTAGTTGGAAGTTTTTGCATTAGAAACAAATTAGCTGGTAAAACTCAAAAACTAAGCCATCCCTTGGGAATGGCTTATATTTTGGAAATTCTGCTCACATTAAATAAAGGAATTCTGAGAATTCCGAATTGATGTTGTTGTATTTTACATCTCAGACATACTGTATCTACCATCTGGAAGGACAACGACAGCAGCACTGGATCACCAGCACCTGCAAATTCACCCCAACCTGACTTGCGAATACTGTGTTGTTGTTTCACTGTCACTATGTCAACATGTTGGAGCTCTCCAGCTAACAACACTGTGGGTTACTATACCACGAGGGCAGCAACAGGCCAAGAAAGTGACAGAGTGTCACCTTCTCACAGCCAATTAGAGATAAGAAATAAATGTGCGAATTGTCTGAAATACCAACATCCTATGAACTAATAAAAAATAAAATTACTTGACACTTATTCCTGCTATGAAACGTCTAGCAAAGATCAGAAAGCAGGCTTTGCTATGCTTTAGGGGCATTCCTATTAACTATGAGGACAACACGAAGGATATATGCTGAGAATGACCAACTTTCTTGCTGGTACATCATGTTTGTCAGCTGGACTGCCACGAGTTACTGATGATTGAGCCTTCAAATGGGCAGGTACTCATCTATTAGCAGAGATTACCACACCGGAGAGTTAATGGAATTGGTTAGCTTCCCAGGGTCACTGGGTGTCCTCCTAAACAAGTGGATCATATTGATGTCTGATGCTCTTTTTTCACAGATTGCTTCTTAAATGTGAACTATCCACTCTGCACAACACAAATTGTGAAAAAGTCAAGGAATGTCCTTTCCTTTCTTTTCTGAACATGGGCATTGACAAATTAAACAAAGGAGTCTCACATTGCTACCCTATGGAGTGTGGTTAGCCCTAAACACAAAAGTTTGGTATCAATGTCAAGCTGAAACTGTATAAGCATCCTTGCATAACAATTAAAGATAATGCTATGACTGGGAACGCATCCAGGAACTTTTATTTCAAGTTGGCTCTATAAATGTACCCTTCAATAATAGAGTAAAGAGTGTAGTCCTTATTGAACTGTGTTCCCGGATTTTATGGCTCTACTGTTAATTTCTCAGCACAGGTGCAGCAGTGAATAGCAGCGAAAGTCTTCCTCCATCCTCATCAGTAAATGACATCTCATCTATGTCAACCGATCAGACCCTTGCTTCGGACACTGACAGCAGCCTGGAAACTTCAGCAGGACCGCTTTGTTGCAGGTGACTAACCGTCTGCCTGCGGAGCCCCTTCTTCTTTCGAAAATGATGCAAGTACTAAATACTCAGCACAGCTCACTGGAACCGAACTATTTAAAAAGGAACGTGGAAGTACTGATGCTAAAATATTATGTCAAACTGCTTTGCTTATCTCATTCCAATGAAACTGACATTCATTAAGAGTATTAGGGGGTATCATTTCACATGTAAATATGTGATTATAAACTGGCTCCCTGTCGTACTTGCTTTGCCAATGCAAGGTAAGCAGGAAAGGTATAGCATTATAGTTAAAACTGAATGCACTTTTGTCTCCTTAAAGTAGAAATATGTGTCCCTTCTTTCACTTACTGTATATTTGCTGACTATTAACACCTTGGCAAAATATATTCCCATAAATGGCCACATGCATATTACCACTCAAACTCTTTTTGAATTTTATGCTACATAATAATAACTATAAATATGACAGAAAATGCAATTATTTTATTCCTTTGAGCAAGTAATTTCATTGCCACTTAAAGCATCGAATTAATTTCTGCAAGTCTACTTAAAGGGACGTTCAGAAACCAAAACCATTTCTGATCATGCAGAGACTGTCAATTATAATGTTACTACTTTGTTTCGATTAATACTGCATCCTTGAATGGTTAAAGAGTCTATACTATTGGTAACTTTCCTAGTAAGGTTGCAGTCCAAATTTTTTCAATATATCTAATGGTTTAAAATCCTTAGTGTACAATTTTCATAAAATGATCCAATGTCTGTAGATTGATTTTCGGTTAAAATAGTAAGGTGGTAGCTATGTTCTGTTATATCTTTTTGTCATTTACTCCAAACTAAATTGAAAGCCCTTACATAAATTCTGCAAGGAAGTACATGTCAAATAGTATGGCATGGTTTTTTTCTTAGCTTTTGGATATGATATTTTGACATTATCACTTTAAAAAAGAATACATTTAAGTAAGGAAAGTTAGCTGAGTTAGATCTATGATCTGAATGGAGAGATCCTGGAATTCCTGCTCATAGATGTATTTGTATGCTATGTTTGAGGTGGCGGGAACTTTTGGCCAGTAAAGTAAAAGACATACACATATAAAGCAATTGCACACCTTGACATAGTTGGCTACAGTCTTTAGTTGCACTTGCCTGCAGTTGTGCATGATCAAACTTCCAAATATATTCCTTTTAAATGGAAGGTAAAATATACATATAGGTACTGTAGGCTATTATGTGATACATTATGTATGCCACTAAGGACCTGAAACATGTTGCTGTAGTCTTAAACTCCTTTATGCTGAACCTGCATGGACTTGTAATATGTTTACTTTGTTCCCCAGCAAACAGAGTATTTTGAATTGTTATAAATTGCATTAACTAGAATCAAATTTATTAGCTGTCCATTTGAAATTTTAAAAAAGGCGGTAACTGGTGGGAACATTAGATCAGAACATTGAGATCCACATTCAGGACATTAGTAATGTGAAATATAAAGAAAAGCATAGGATTTATAACCACAGTGAGTTCATTTTAGGTCAGAAGGTTCAAATTTAGGTTAATATCTGCAATGAAATGAAACAGTAGGAAATTATGCAGTTTTAATCATATTTGCGGATAAGTAATTTCTGGGAAAAAAATGACTGATTCTCAAATGCATATCAGATTTGATTGGCTGGCTGGGTATCTAAAGCCCTTGAAACATTTCAATGAACGATTATGAAAGGGTACTTTCAAAATAGCAATTAGGATTGAGCAAAGCTTGATTTGTTTTGAGATAAAAATTATGAATAATTGAAAAACATGCATACAACAGTACAGAAGTGAGTGTATTTCAGAGAATACTTGTAATGTTGACATGAGTTCAGAAGGAGTAATAATTCTAACATGAATGAGCCTCCTTATTCTCTGACTTGTCAAATTGAGACCAATGCTCAGTTTTCTAGAAGCTGTTTTAATGGCATAAAATCCTTCTAGTGGTCAGGGCAGGTCAGAAAAATCAAGTCTCTGAATTTTACATTGAATTGTGTTGCACCCAAACTTCTGAGAAAATCCTGTGCCTCAGTTAAGTATAATTGGTTTTTCCAAATTTCACCCTAGGTTTCCCAACCTGAATGAGACTCTACCTGGAATGCTTACATCATTGATAATAACATAAGCACATTAAGGATTTGCAGGCCTGTTGAAATAGACTTCTCTAAGAGAGGGTAATGTCATGCTGTTTTCAGTTGTAATTTTTTGTTTCTTTTCTGCATTTTCAGTTAAATTTTGCTCTGCATATTAATTGATTTTTCGAAGTTAGTTATTTTATCCAATTCCTCATTACTGCAACCATTTAAGTATCTCTAATTAAGCTGTCAAGCTGGGAGATAATTTAATATTCTAATAGTTTACATTTTTCAGTTAAGGAAGATAGTCAGGACTCTGAATGCAGTAAAGCAGGTTATAAGTTCCATAGGAAAGATATGTAAATGGTATCAGAGGAGGAGTATTATCAGTGATAGAGAATGAAATTACTTGGAGAAAGGTTATGAGAAGAATAGACAATGTTAGAATGATGAAATATAAAAGGGTTTAGGACTATAGTGGCAGCTGTATGTTAGCCCTTGCTACCAACTATATAGTGGAAGATTGTATACATGCAAAGTGATTTAAAAGGAGAATTTAACTATATAGACTTGGGTAAGAAAACTAGCATATGACAGACAACCAGTGAATTTATTGACTGTGCCTGACATAGTTTCTGCAGCATTATACCAAAAATGGGGGTATACCACATTAGATCATGTATTATGCCACATTGTGTCAACAGCCAAATTGTGCATAAAATGTATGTAACAGCAATCATAATATTCAGTCATGCTCAAAAGGGAGAAACAGGAAACAACAACAAAGATTTCAAGTTAGGTGAGGCTGCCTTCACAGGGATGTAAGAAACTTTTCCTGGTCAGCTAGACAAATTTGTAAAATGACTAGTAGGATCAAAATAAATTAATATGACCAGTTTATATTCTTAAGGGCCAAGAGCTCTACTTGCCAAAATGGTCAACCATAGAGAACTAAGGAGGCAAAGGACAACATATATATATATTATATATATATATATATATATTCCTATAAATGGCCACATGCATATTACCTATCAAACAAAAACAAAAATGCAAACAAAACCCTCCACAAACACTGGCAATGGGCAAAGCTACATAGAGTAAAAATGGTAGAAGTGACAAAATTAAATTATGACAACAAGGTTGCAAGGAATGTCAAAAGCAATTTTTTTTTGCAATTGCTTTCAGAAAGAGGGATTGCAAGCAATGTGGACCCTTTAAAAAGTGGTAACAGTGATATGGTCAATGAAATTAAGGAATGGTGGGCATGTATCACTTACTTTGCAGGAATTGTAAGAGCAGAAGATGAAATTAGAATGACAAATATCCCATGGAAATGAATCAGGGTTGGGACCTTGACTAAATTAACACAAGCAAAATGAAGGTACTTAAGAAAGCAATTGTATGAGAGAGTGAGAATTGAGTTTTAAAGGGAGTAGATGAGAACATTATTGATGGTCTCCCTATAATCTTCCAAATTTAAGATATTGTTGTATCATTCTTCTATTTACAAAAAATGAGACAGAGAGAGAAAGAACTTCTGAATGAATTAGCCTAATACTTGTTGTTAAATTATCAAAATCTATAATTAGGAAAGATCAATTCTTAAAAAAAATTGAGCTGATCAGAAAGAGTTAGCATAGATTTGTAAAACTTAGCTGCTGCCCAGTGTACCTGATTAGAATTTTTGCAGAGGTGATTAAAGTATTGGACAGGAGAATGTATACAGTTGTTATTTATAAGGACTTCCTGAAAATATCTAATAAGGTTTTTCAGAAAGGAATGTTAGCTAAAGTTGGAATCGAAAGCAGTATAATCTACCGAAAGCAGTATAATCTACCCATTAGGACATTCTACAGAACTGTATTCACTGTGTTTGGTTTAAAAAGGAGTCGTGGCAGAATTGTACATCCAAATAACCTGAAGATAACATGCAGACTGGGAACTGCTTTTCCCAAGAACACAAAGCTTGTCACTGAATAAAACTCGCATTCCAGCAGAACTTACATCCGCCAAGGATTAACTGCTATTTCAGGCATTTGGATTGTCAAATATTTCCAGTTACTGTAGAAGGGAGATATGAATTGAGAGGACATGAAGTTTCCGGGTAGAGAAGTTCCCTCGAGTAATGATCAATAGAGATAGTACCTCAGGTGCACTTCAGAACGATTCCAACAGTTCATACATGAGCAGAAACAAATACATTCAATTAAATTTCAGGTGATATTTGACCACTGAGACAATATACATTTCAGCAGCCCTTAGCCAGGAAGCAGCCTTTCACCTTTTATGAGTATTGCCTCATAAGGCCATTCAAACTGTGTAAAGTAAAAATGCTTTCAATTGCTAAGATTAGGCATGATTAAAATCTGCTTCACAAAGTTTGAGATTTGCAACATTTGCTTCCCACACTATAGGAAGCCTGTGCAGGCTTGGGAGAGGATGCAAAATGAGTTTACCAGGATGTTGCCTGAATTGGAGTGTATTAGCTACAAGGAGAGGTTGGACATACTTGGATTATTTTTGCAATAGCATCGGAGGCTGAGGAGTGACCTGATAGAAGTACATAAAATTATAAGAGGCATGGATAGGGTGGATAGACAGAATCTTTTGCCCAGGGTGGAATGTATAATACTAGGGTGCATAAATTTAAGATGAGAGGAGGAAAATTTATTGCAAGGAAAGTCTCTTACACAAATGATGACAGCTGCCTGGAACACACTGCCAGGGGAGGTGGTAGAAGCAGATATGTTAGTAAAGTTTAAGAGGGATTTAGACAGACATATGAACAGGCAGGGCACAGAAGGATACACATTATGTGCAGGCAGTTGGGATTAGTTTAGAATGGCATCATGGTTGACATAGACATTGTTGGCCAAAGGGCCTGCTCTTGTGCTGTACTGTTCGATGTTCTATTATTCAGGATCACCAACCACTTTTGGTGGACTGATAATCTCCATCATTTTCCAGCCTGCTCCCTGCCAGCTTAAAATACTATTACATGTGTCAAAAATTATTGCTTCTGATCAAGTTGGGATCAATTGTTCACTTCTGGTTATAATGTAATTTGCACCTTCCCCAGTTAGAAAGTAAAGATAGGTTTAGTTCCAGAATTTGTCACCATGATAGAAGTTCAAACTTCCACTAACTGTTCATCAACTTTCCTGAACTTATCCCACAAATTCATGTCAACCACCATATTGAGATGCAATTTGAATTTTAGAAATAAATATTAACCAAATTCTTAAATAATTTTGATTGATACATTATTTTAAAAAGTAATATTTTAAAAAACTGATAAATCATGCTAAAAAGTCACAGGCTTTAGGGGTTGAACAGTGGCTCAGTGGTGAGCACTGCTGCCTCACAGTACTAGGGACCTGGGTTCAATCCTACCCTTGGGTGACTGCCTGTGTGGAGTTTACACATTCTCCCTCTCCATGTGCCTGTGTGGGTTTCCTCCTAAAGTCCCATAGCATACAGGTTAGGTGGATTAGCCATGCTAAATTGTCCATTGTGTCATGGGAGATTGGCTAGTTTGCAGGGATAGGGTGGGGTGCTCATTGCAGGGCCAATCTGGAGTTGCTGGACTGAATGGCCTGTTTCTACACTGTAGGCATTCTATGAATTTAATTTTTAATAAGATTCATCACATTTTGAAAATATTTCACATTAAAACAATTTGTTTCATTTTTTGAAAGGTCCTTTCTGATGCTGACCTACTCATTAAGTATTTGCAAATTAAGAGGAGACCCCTTTCACCTGGAACTACAGGCCTAAAATTTTAAAGTGTAATTAGTAGACAATTGATCTTTATTAATGCTCATTTGGTTCGTCCACTAGAACGTCCAAATTTACCCACTCCCTCCACAACTCTGGAATTTGTGGTGATACTCAAACATTCAGTATTAGTGAATGTATCACAGGAACTGAAATGACCAAATCCAGCCTATTAGGTCTTTCATTGTTGTAGTGTTATCAAGGCAGCATATGATCCAACTAAGTGTAGCTGTTCCCTTCAGTCAGTCCGTATAAAAGTTCAGAGCAAGATGGGCATTCTGAATGGATTTACCAGCAGGGGCAGAGTAGCAGAGCAGGCACTTCTGCTGATGGCCTAAGATGGGAACCAACTCTTATATAATATACAATTAGGGATACATTGACAATAGGATTTGTTGATGGCAGAGTTGGACATGCTGGTCACATGGGTGTCCAATGACCGTAGTTAGTGGAAGGGATGAGGGTGACCATAACAGCAGGGCAGGGCTGGGGGTGATTCTGATGGATCATAACTTGCAATGGTGGTTAACAGCAAAATAAACATAAGCAAAAGGCAGAACCGAATTCATAGCAACAAACACAGAGAAGGCTGGAGAAATGTAACATGTCTGGCAGCATCTGTTGAGAGAGAAACAAAGTTAACATTTCAAGTCCGGCATGGTTCTCCTTCAGAGCCCTTGTTCAGTCTCCCGTAGGCTGTCTTAGAATTTTTTTTAAAGGGACTGGGGCCAAAGAATCAAAATAATGGATGATCCCCTATGGAGCAGGAGGTCAACAGGCTACATGGTGAGGATACAGCAGGTTCTAATGGCATGGTAGGAGTCACTTCAGGATCCAATAACTAGGGCCATGGCTCTAGGGAGCCCACAGTTCTCAGGCTGGAGTCAGGGCCAAAGTGTTTGGGTCAAGATTTGGGCCTGTGATTTCTGTCCCCATGCCTGTTGGTCATCCCAGATGGAAACCCTGTCCCAAATTGTATGACAAGGCTGATAGTACCTTTGAGCTGGTTTGCAAGCATTTCCTAAATGTTTGATGTCTGCACAAATTTCCTATCTATGGTGGAACAGCTAACACCAAACCTGGGGATGTCCTTGGCACCAACAACACTGGGGGAGAAAAAGGCTGCACTATAAATGGGAGACAGGCAAAAAATGTTCCATCTGATTGCCTGGCCACTGATCAAGAAATCCACCAGGATTGTGCTTGGGAATCAGTAGGAATTTTAGAGTCTAAAACAAAGTAAGCAATTTGAGTGCAGTAAGGTCTCACAAAGAAGAGTGAAATAAATGATCAGATCATCTGTTTGAAATGTTGGCTGAGAAATTTTAATTAATATTTCAACCTGCAACATATATATGTGAGGCATTGTCAATGTCTCATACATGGGAGACCAATATGACATGACCAGAGTCCGTTAGATGCAGTTATTATTCTAAAATAGCCAATGTACCTCTACAACATTTCAAGATCTGTATCATCTTGTTGGGATAGTGAGTTCACATCAGAACACTAAATTAAATCTCACTACCTTGCAGTTTGTAATGGCAATGTCTGGATGAAAAAGATCCAGGAGCCAAGCAGCATGTTAAATCTTTGACCTGTTTTCACTGTATACTAGCCTCTATGTAGCACCTAGTTCAAATTCACAAATTTGGCAAGTTCAACACAGTTCAATTCAAGTGAAAGCTCTAGAGAAATCCATTATTAGTTATTTTCGAAAATATCCTTGGGTTTGCCTTAACAATCTCAATTTGGCTGACAGAACAGACCTGCAAAGCTGATGAACAAATTGAAAACGTTCATTAATTATTTTAGTAGTTGAAAGGATGGTTAATCCTCAATTCTATTCTAAGATGATTAATTATGTCCAAGCAATTTCAGCAACAAAGGAATCTAAGTTAGTCAGGCCAGTGTCCCTATACAAAAAATATGCTTGCAAAGCACAGGATAAAGAAGGCTTAACTGAAGAGCATTACTGCTAGATTTTGTAGCAGAACGTAACTAACCATGAAGCTGAATACATTCTTAAGTCTGCATGTTCTTGCTAATGGCTTATCTTCTAAAATCAATGGCATGACAGGATACAAATTAACAATTTATTTCTGATGTCCTGCAGAGATGTATGTAAATGGCTCAGTGGCAGGAAGTTGCTCCCAGACTGGGTGGAGCAATTCCATTTCTGAAAGGTGAATCTCGAACCTCAAGGTTATGATGTTAAAATTACAGAAATGGCGAAAACAGAGTGTCCCTGCATGTGTTCTCCCTGAGGCTTCTGTTCACCAGACTTGTAACAAAGATGCCTTCTATGAAGCTGATGGCAGAAAGTACATCTAACAGTATGCAGAATGCTTTTTCTGAAAGTGTGCGAAGCACCATCCGGTTGTGCTACAAGTTGGAGGGGCTGCTATAAAGTTTCCTGGAGCTGTCAGTCGATCATCAATCATTTTTATAATGATCATCTTAACCAGAATGCCCTTCTCCTCCCCTCATGGATTTGTATTTTCTCTTTTTCGGAAAGCTGGGGTATGGGTGAAGAGTTGAATACAGGTGTGATTAACAGAGAGTTGGGACTCCCTGCATTTTGAGTGGCTGAATCCTATAACAGCAATATTAAACTGCTGTCACATTGGTTCAGTGTGCTCGTGAGTCTCATTTCAAATGGAGAAGCTGTGCTTTGGGGGATTGGATTCCCCTTCTTGAACTGAGATGTCCATAATCTGATGGGGACAGGGGCAAACTATTGAGAAAGAATTGAAATTTAAATAAAAGTCCCTTGAACACCAGATATTACCTTTCTAAGAATGGTATTCAATTAACTGACCGTTGACAGGTAGAAGGAAATCAGCCAGCGGCCCAGTTAATTTAAAAAATTAGAAATATTTCAATGACTGCCACATCCCTGCTGATGTTGCAGTATCTCCCACATTGCACTGTGTGTAGAAGCATGGGAAGAGAAAAGTAATAACTGGATGGGACAGTTGTTTGGATAGCTTGTGTTTCTTTCCAGTTCTGTATAGGGATTTTCAAAAAAAAAAGACATGTTTCATTTGGGGAAGAGGATTTTATATTTAAAAAAAAGTTTAAAAACAATATTTTAATGAAACTTCTCAATACCATTTGTCAGTCTAACAAAGAATGTGTTCATGACATCCAGGTATTTTTCACTTAAAGGCGGTGCAATAAGATAGCTTTCTGAGACCGCACCATTACAATGAGGTCAGCTGCGATCACAACTGGAATCTGATGTGTTGACTTTGTGTCAAGTTTGATTTTAAACAAACTCTGGTGGTTGCATTTTTTTTTGTACTGTTTGTGATCAATTTTGTTAGGATGTAAGAATGAGATATGTGTCCAAACTCAACAGCAGTGCTTAGAAAGACAGGTCCTCAAGGTCCAGCTCCAGGATAGGACTCTACTTTTCAAATAAAAAAAAAACTGAAAGGGAAACAAAAGCACTCAAGATTTTAAGGCTACTGTGTATGTAGAAAATATATGTATGTGATTAAAAAATAAAATACGCCTTTAAAATGAGAACTGCTCCTTTGTTGTGTACTGATTAGTAGGATCAGCAATCCCCACCTTGATCTGGATGTCTGGAAAAGTGGTTTGCTGGCAGTAATTTTCCAACATGCATCTCCCAACTGGTTGTAAGGTGAGGACTGGGAGCTAGAGGAAACATTTTGTGACCGGATATTCGGAGTGTACACCAGTGCTCTTTGTAAAGCACGCAAACTCTTATCAGTAATATACTGTATGTTCTGCATTCTAAGCCCAACTATGGCACGAACCCTCAAATGAAACATTTGTGTTACTTGTCAAATGTATAATCCATATGCGTTATTTCACCAGCCCCACTGGGTACTAATTATCCATCCATTATCAAGAATCTGGATAGTATAAAATAGGGGAGGTGATAACCTAGTGGTATTGTCACAGGACCTAATAATCCAAAGGCTCAGGTAATGTTCAAGGGCACAGGTTCAAATCCTGTTATGACAGATGGTGGAGTTTGAATTTGATCAAAATCTGGGGAATTAATGCCAACCATGAAACAGTTGCCAATTGGTGGAAAACTCACCTGCTTCATTAATGTCCTTTAGAGAAGGTAACTGCCTTATATGGTCTGGCCTACGTGTGACTCCAGGCCCCCAGCAATGTCTCTAAACTGTCCTCTGGGCAATTAGGGATGAGCAATAAATGTTGGCCCAGCCAGCAATGCCTATGTTGAGTGAATGAATAAAAACAAAATTTCTAGGGCCTTATCCTTGAACGGGTAGGTCCTATAATGCTGATGTTATAAGGACTGACGTATTGTATTAATCAGTGCTATTGTCATAGTAAGTTCCAATCAAGCACTTAATTGAGTTGAGGTAGGCCTGCCCCAATATTGCAAACCTTAGGGATGCAACTCCTGCCCAGCAACAACTGCCAACCTCTCTGCATTGTTCACCATTGCCACTGGGATGCAGTGACTGCAGCTGCTGTTACATCCTCCCAAAGCCTCAGTCACGGATCGATCCAGGCACAGGAGAGTGAGGGACGGAGCGGGTGTTTGTGGGATGCAGGTTCCAGAATTGTGAGCAGGCGTTGTGTATTGAGAGAAGTCACTAGTAGGGGGTAAATGTGAAGCACGGTGGGCCCTTCTCTTTCCCAATAACAAGGTCCTCATTCAGACAGTGAATGCCTCTGAATGAGAGACTCCTTCCCTCCCTGATGCCTTCAGAAACTTTGACCACAGTTTTGGGTTTTCAATATGGAAAGTCACTGACCCACCACTGGGTGAATACCAGCAGTGGCAAGATGCAGCCCCAAAGTGGCCTTTAACTGCCATTTAACAGCCTCAATTGGTGGTATGATGGAAAGACTGATTTTTCTTTCTTAATGTAATAAATAAACACCAGAGCTTTCTTACTGTGGGAAACAAGACATTTTGAAGAACTTCCAAGAGGTGCAACAATGTACATCCTCAACATCTGGAGAGTTGATGGACACAAGAGTTCTCCTCTCACCTCCCCATGCCCTTCGCTCACTGTGCTATACAGTGTTTGGCAGCCCTGAGTGTGGATGGGTAAGGGGATAAAGGCTTTCCAGTCACAGTGCAAGAGATTCTCCTATGCTTAGCAGGGCTAGAGGAGTTTAGATCACTGGTAAAAGGGTTGGGAAGCTCCTTCCAATCTTTGGAAAGCCTTGTTATTTAGCTTGTGAATGTCAGCCTACACCTTCCCCTGGCCTTTCAAAACAACATAGTGCCGGCCAAATGCCTGTTGACCGAAGCAAATCTGGGAAAGTGTCATGGGTTTCAGCAATCTCTCATTGGACCATCACACAATGAACTCTTAGCTCCAGCAATGGTTTGCAGAGTGACAGTGACGTCCATAGTGTTCTCCTCGGCCTGTCTCTCCATGGCAGCTGCTGTGCTCTCTCTAGCTGGAATTGGTGATGCAGCCCCTTAGCTGAGACATGGTTGAGCTGAGGAAGCTCAAGCAGCTCCGCCAGACTCGCCTTGGTTTGCCTCTGCAACTCCCACAGATCGAGTGGGTCCTTCATCAGAGACGATTCAGCCGGGAGCACAGAGGGGACCGTCGCCCAAAAGCTGCCAAGTGCCCACTGGCCTTGGCTATCATCTGTACCTTCCTGATTTTGTGGCACTGACCAGATGATGACCCTCGACTGGTCCACAATTGACTTCCCACCAAGGGGTGTGTATGTGCACTGAGCGTTGGGTATATGGGAAGGGTGTGACTCCACCCTCTCAGTGATTTCCAGACTGTCACCCTCTGAGGAGCTCTCAAGTAGAGCACGTGGAGCTGGCCCTGACTCTCTGTGACAGCAACCCCTGTAAATGACTGATGAGCTTTGGGGGCTACTACCTATCACAGGAACAATAGGCTGCTACCGTCACTAAGAATGACGAGTAAATCCAACCTCTCCTCACTCTCCCTGCCCACCAATCCAAATTCAGGCCCAGCTATGAACTGAGCACACTGCTAACTGTTGAAGTTTGAGCACAACCTGTGTCGATGATGGATCTCTGACATTTGAAACCCCCTGCCCTGCCTCATCTCTCTGTGGAGTTGTGAGGCTTTTGTCCCACAAGAATAAGGGTAAGAAGATGAGATTTCCAGTGATACTAAGGAGCAGCCCTCACTGTTCAATCACCTTCTGATCCCCTGAGATGTCATATTTCTCAGTTGCCCTTCACTGCTCACATTCTCAGGAAATCTGCACAAGGCCAGAGGAAGATGCAAACTCCGAAGATGTAAGCTCAGAGCTTATGTGATGACAGAAGCTTATGAGGAAGGAAGCCCTTCACACTTCAATGTCCATCCTGGCCCTTAGCCATTCAGAGCCGAAACCTTTACCACTCACGTTTTGTCCTTTTTTTAAATTCATTCATGGGATGTGGGCGTTGCTAGCTGGGGCACCATTTACTGCCAATTCAAAGGGGAAGTTTCAAGATTTTGACTCAGTGACACTGACTGTATTATATTTCCCTGTCAGGATGGTGAGTGGCTTGGGTGGGAAGAGGGGGGAGCTTGCAGATGGTGATGGTGTTCCCAGGTATCAGCTGCACTTGTCCTTCTAGATGAGTATAGTTGTGGGACTGGAAGGTGCTGTCTAAGGAATTTGGTGAATTTCTGTAGTATATTTTGTAGATAGTACACACTGCTGCCACTGAACAATGTTAAAGAAGGGGATGAGAATATTTGTGGATGCGGTGCCAGTCAAGCAGGCTGCTTTATCCTGGATAGCGTCAAACTTCTTGGCTGTTGTTGGAGCTGCACCCATCCAGGCAAATGCAGAGTAGTCCATCAGTCTCCTGACTTGTGTCTTGTAGATGGTGGACAGGCTCTGGGAATCAGGAGGTGAGTTACTCTCTGCAGGATTCCAAGCTTCTGACCTGTTCTTTTGGCCATAGTATCGACGCAGCTAGTCCAGTTGAGTTTCTCATCAATGGTATCTCAGGATATTGATAGTGGAAGATCCAGTGATGGAAATGCCATTGAATGTAAGGTACAAAGGTGAGATTCTGTCTTATTGGAGATGACCTTGCCAAACATAATCCCAAACTAAATTAATCCTAACTGCCTGCTCCTGGCCCATATCCCTCCAACCTTTCCTACTCATGTATCTATCCAAATGACTTTGAAACATTGCAATTGTGCCCACATCTACCATTTCCTAAGAAAGTTCATTTCACACGCGAACCACACTATGTGTAAAAAAGTTGCCCCTCATGTCTTTTTTAAATTTCTCTTCTCTCACTTTAAATATGTCATTGAAGCCTTGAAATTCCCAATCCTAGGGAAAAGACACCGACCATTAACCCTAACTATACACCTCGTGATTTTATAAACTTCTATCATGCCACCTCTCATCCTCCCACGCAACAGTAAAAAAACTCTCAGCCTATCCAGCTACTCTTTATAACTCAAACCTTCCA